CGTGGATGTCTGCATCCAGATTCCTCAGTACTTGGATTGGGTTTATGGCACAACTATTAGGGTGTTTGGCCATCCCATCACTAGAGTAGGTCAGTCCTGGCTGTCTCTCGGCCATTGCCAGCAGTCTTTTGTGGGGGTATCTTTAAGGATTTCTGTGGGCCTTTTAAGCACTTTGTTTCTTCCTTTTCACATGTGGTCTTCATTTATCATGTTCTCCTCTTCCTTGTTCTCCCTCTGTTCTTGATCCAGGTGGGATCTCCCGTTCTCTTTCCCTTGACCCTCGCCGTTCATTACTCCCACTCATGTCCAGGCATTTAGAAGTTTTTACTTGCATTTATCAAATGAACAACAGTAATAAACTGTATTGTGTGTCTTTGTGTATGAATAGAGTAAAATATATATTGAGTTTGAAACTATGAACAGAGTTTTTCTGTCAGAAAATATGTGGCTTAGTTTTAGTAACCATCTTATTGTGGAACATAGACATCTTCTTTTGGATATATAAATGGTTTATATGCATTACCACCATATAAACAATAGTTTTATATAATATTAACAGTGAAAACTACCTCTTTAGAGTAAATTTAAATTCAGGCTTGTGTATCTTTCACTGGTTAGAAAATCACTTGAATATTACTCAATATAGTAAATATATAAAATATTTGTACTTAATGGCATTGTTTAAACCATAGCTTGCAAATAACCATCCTATGGACAAATGTAGGAATCTATAACAAAATTATTTACTGACTAATTAAATATGCTTATATTTCTAACAGGAGGAATTCTTAAGGATTATTATAAAATTATGTTTTATTTGGGCTCTAACAAATACAGCTTTCCTGGGGATCAGAGGACAAAGTCAGCCACCATATTAAACATAGAGGTCAGGCAGTGGTAGCACACACCTTTAATCCTAGCATTCAGGTTCATCCTGATCTCTGTGAGTTCAAGGCCACACTGGGAACAGAGTCAGGCATGGTGGCACACGCCTTTAAATTCCAACACTAGTTAACCATAAAGGTCTGGAGGTCTGTACAGACAGACAGGAAGTGACAGAGCTGGACAGAAAGAGGAAGTGATGTAGCTGGGCAGAGAGAGAAAATGAGATGGCAAGAACAGAAAGGCATAAAGGTGTGGGTATACAGGAAGTCTGTCTTTTTGGAAGCTGAGGAGTTGGTGATGTGAGTTTGGCTATGGCTTGTCCTATTCTTCTGATCTCTCAGTTTTCACCCCAATATCTGGCTCCGGATGTTTTATTAATAAGACCTGCTGTGGGATGTTAATGTATGTCCTGTGGGAGCCCTTCTTGGGTTCCTTGTGGCGTTACCCAGCAGGTTTACATAGAGGATGA